TAAGGTTCCGCAGATGCCTTCGACCGAGCCTGGTTGACGCCAGGATAGTGCATTAAATTAAATTAAATTTGATAAAGAGATGGCCACACAGCCCCGTCATGTGTGTAGTGACAAAACATGAATATGGCTTCTGTGGCAAAAATGCACTATATGTCAGCACTTGCAACTTGCACATACAAAAAAAAGTCAGGAGAGACAACAGTGACATTCAATGTTCAGAACTGTCGTCAGGCACAAAAACTTTTAAAAAAACAACAACAAAAATTAGGGTTTTGATTTTGATTTCATTTACTACATTTTATGTAGTGAACAACCTGGTCATATTTTTGATTGAGTTGTCTGTGGAAACTGAGATGACATTTTTCACACCTGCAAGTAACCTTTTCATCACAAATTCACAAAATAGTTTTGTTAATATTCTGCACTTTCCTTAAGATTGGGACAAAGATAGCAAAATTTATTAAGTGAAAACTGAAAATTTACCAAAATTTTGTCTGTTGGCTCCAAAGTTAGGGTTTATTTTCAGAAAAATTTGGACGAGAAAGTCTGGTGGTAAAAGAGTTATGGATTTATAAGCCAAATTGCTAATATGTTAAAATTATTTATTATTATTTATTGTGAATAACAGCCCAGTACTGAAAATGAAACAAAAAAAATGTGATCACCAGTCAAGGTAAAAAAAAAATGTGATCACCAGTCAAGGTAAAAAAAAAATGTGGGCTTCCCCCCAAAATGCATTGAATTGGTTTGTATGTGATGTTTTTCATTATTTGAATAGTGACACAGACTGAAAAAAGTACATATTGTTCTGGACAGTGTTGGACATTTTGAATAAATTGACATATTATTCGCCATGTTTTAAATGAGATGGTATTCTTCCCATTATATGTAAAGGGAATTATTTCATGTCTGCCACGTTTTATATGTGCCTTAGATGCCAAAATTTGAATTTGGCCATGAATGAGTATATATAATTCATTAATAAATAAATAAATAAATAAATAAATAAATAAATAAATAAATAAAAACAGTTCACTGCAAGTATGTTTTAGTCTGTCTGACCTTACAGGAATTCACAGAGGAATATAAATAACTCTTCCAGTTACCGCTACAATGTAATTAGTATGTGTTAGGTAATTGTTATTTGCTTGAAAAATTGGTTTGTGTGTTTTGGTCACAAGATTACAAAAAAAAATGTCATTTACCTTTACTAATTATTGCTAGAACATACAAATTATGGTTTTATTTTTGACATCAAAAATGACCACATTTGTTATGACATTGGTTTGTGAAAATTGCTGATTAGCATATACTGCAATGTGTGTAGTCAAAACATTATTTTAATTTTATGTTACATCATTCACTATTAATTTTATCAAGATACAATACTCATTTAATTATTTACTTAATCCACTCTTTGAATATTATAAGAGTAAACAAACTGACAATTGCATTTATAGATTACTGAACCATCCAAATATGACTCATTTTTACAATTTACATTATAAGTTAGTAACTGCACTACAAATAGCAGAAAATATGGTATTAAAGAAAGGTTTGAAATAGCTAAATCTCATTTTCGAGTGTGCTCATGAAAAAAATATATGCATGTTATTATGGTGGACCGTATTTCCGAGATAAGTTGTTTAAGTGTATAAATAATTTGTTTCTGCTTTGGGAAAAACAAGTGAAGCATTTTTTGGCTGCCGGCTTTTCATGATCCACCTTCATTACAGGCATTTGAAAAATTATAATTGTTTATCTTATTTTGCAACGAATTGAATAATGATGTTCTAAATCCATTTTTCTGACATATATTGACTGATCACAAACAAACTGTAAAATTACATGACATGAAAAGAACGAAACCTGTACTGGAAGGGAAATTCTTACTCTCTTACTTCCTTACTCTCTTGTGTTTTATTTCATGTTCTGATACAAAATGGCCGACTCATTTCTGTTTTGTTTTCATGGGCTTGTTTCATCTAGATTCAATACATGTACATGAAGAGTTGTCTTTATATACATTAAAACTACTTTATTTTCACTTGCTGATCAGTGAAATAAAATCTAGTTAATATACTTACATTCAACTCATTCAAAAATAAATAAAAAAATGTTGTTTCAGCGGAAATTAATTCCAGCTAAAATAATGTATTTTGCAGTAGTATACCCATGGTGCTGGAATGGACCACAATGTAATAGTAACCATTGGGATTGCATTTGAGGAGAGAAATCACTGCTCGCCTGTCAATCACTCTAATTAGGACCCATGAGGGCTAATTATAACACTTTAGTAGCCCAGGCCATGTAATCACCTATATTACTGTGTTGAACCATGTGTTTCTGGTCATCACCTACATTCAATTTAAAATGCATTTCTATTACTCTTTGAGCGCAACGTCAACTTTTTTTCACCATTTTGTCCAAAATTATCAAACAATTTCTGAAATAAGCAGAATGTTACACCTAAATGATGATAGCAAAAATAATGGTGTTCAAAAAAAACCACTAATTTAAAACCTGTGTGTGTGTGCATTGATTTTGAAACAAAAGAAATTTTTCTTGGCCTAAAGGTGTCATAAATTACATGACAACGTTTATTGGTTTATTATTTCCAATCATTAAGCTTTAGTTCCATGGCAACCTGAAACATCATTTTATTTAATAACAAGTACAATACTAGAGTTTTGGATATTTTGGCTAAGTATTATTGAAACATTTTATTTTGTAGATCAGTTTCATAAAATGTAATGTTAAAGCAAAATGTTTTTGTTTTTTTTTCATTTTTTAAATTCTGTTTTTTTAAATAATTCAACAAAAAGTTCTCTTTCTTTGCGAAATATACCGGTAATTGGTTCACCTACATGCATGTCACCAGCCAACAATTTGAGATATAGCATATTTACACCTTACAAACTGATGGTGAAAGTCAATCTGAATAAAACAAGTTATTATTACATACATGTAGTCCTTGTGAGTTTTCTAGTTTAAAAATATAATATAAATTCTTAGAACAAGAACAGTCAGAGTAATGTCTGAGATACGGCTGCAGAACTACATTCAATAAAACAAAATGGCTACCAGGTGTGGATGCACAGACGCAGGGAGCTCAAATTATAAGTGCATATGTCACCAAAAGTTTCTTTTTTTTAATCATTTTTTTGCATATTTATTTAAAAATAAATAATAAATATCATAAAATAGTATATTTAAAAATGACAAAATTGATGCCATAGAATTCATTAGATCTTAGTGAGATTGTGATAAAAGTGTACTAATACTGACAATATTGCTGTGATTTACTAAAATATATGTGGATTGGTGACCTAAAACTTATTTTAATTGAACTTCCGTTTATAGACTGGGAGTACCGTACAATTTATTGAGTATGTTAATTTGTAAGTAGGATTCCACCTCAGTTTGGTTGTACTTCCTGTTGTTCAAGTTGTGACCTCTTTCTGTGACACTGATCAGAGGAAACAGAAATCTGTCATCACCAAATCCACAATGAGTTGTTGCTATGGATAGCATCAACAACATTAAAATCTAGGTCATGTGATGATATGCAGTGTGCCCTATACCACACTGATTTATTTATAGAAATCTTGAGTCAAAATAGAATCACCAATAATCAAGTTCTGTCAGCTTGGTGACTGCTGGGAAGAAAGGTCTTCAAAAAACAATGAAGATTATGCGTGACTGTTGGGGACTTTTAAACCCTCCCTGATTTTTCCGTTTTTACACTTATTAGTATTTTTGTTTATAAAATGTGAATTTAATGTTAATGAATTTTTAATGAATTTAATTTTTAATGTGAATTTCTTTTAAGATCATTTTATGTGTGTGTTGTTTTCTGTTTCGTTGATGACGTGAGAGCAGAATCAGAGTAACTCGTCACAACAAATCTTTGTACATCAGTGACACGTCGGTCATATTGACTTAATAGAGGGCAAAGTGCTGGTATGTTTAGTTCCTAAAAATAAAAGTGTAAATGATACTGTGCTATGAAATTGTTTTTTAAAAATTGTATTAGAATGACCTGTTATGATGAATAACATTTAGAGTGATATTTCACAAATGTGGATATATTTTCAACTTAAGCCATCCAATTTAATCTCGAGAATAAATGTTAAAAATATGATATAATTATTTGCTGGTTGTCCCAGCCCGTTAGAGAGGTTTGAGAGCTTAGTATAATTAGGGTTAAAGCTATGTGAATGTGTGTGTGGGGGCGAGTGTGTGTGTGGGGGCGAGTGTGTGTGTGGGGGTGAGTGTGTGTGTGTGGGGGCGAGTGTGTGTGTGGGGGCGAGTGTGTGTGTGTCTCTGTAACATCTGCTGAGCAGGGATGCATGATTTTACTCACTGACATATAGGATAGCGTTACCATGATTGTTTTAGCGACAGGTCAAATCCTTATATTTTGTACCATAGAGAAAACAGCTTTTGGAATAAATTATGATAAAATTTTATAATATTAATAAATGATAATCTGGTTGCAACTAATGGAAATTTGCAGCTCGAAGAAATGCAAAATATTGTAGCAATGACATTTTCACTAAACTGATCCTTGCGAAATTCTGTTTTCTCGAAGCTTGTTAGTCATTTTAGTTGTGGAAATGCACCAAAAATAAGTGTTCTGAACCTGGATCTTAAGCTTGAATTGATGGATTTTGTTGAAACATGGTACAAACACAGAACCTTACGCTTGTGTCTGCTACATGCTCGGGGGAGTTTCATTCACAGTCTGTATTTACACGTGTCATATCTTTATTAGGATACATGTACATTTGTGAATTTTTTTATTTAAGATGCATGTTTTCTCTTTATATTAGAGATGCATTTTTAAAATAGGTTTAATGTACAAAATGTTTTGTTGTAAATATTAGTTACTGGAATGTAATACAGTTCATGACAACAACACCCCCCCCTCCAATGTTGATGACTTTATTGGGGTGAAAGTGCATGACCCTTGTTAGGTTATATATATGATATTAATTATGGCAAGTGAATGTTTGGTATTATAATTGAATATTTTCATTTTGTCAGTGAAAACTATTGAAATATGATTATTGAATTATTGATTATTATTTATTTTTTTACTCTCAGTGCAAGAAGAAGGATTTTTCAAACTATGGCAGGGACTCACACCAGCTTTCTACAGACATATAGGTATGTATTGAACATTGCTGATTCATATAAATGCACACAAAATATGTAATTTATTCAGTGATTGGTGATAATTATTTAATGTATTGTTGAGGTCATAGCAGGATATGACATCATCAGCACTGTCATCGACCTGTCATATAACACTGGAAAATTGAATCTATTTATAAAAATGACTAAACCAATTATAATTATTGCAATCAAGTCATGGTTTGCCAGGAATAATGGGATGGATTGTCTGACATAATACTTGCCAAGTGCTGTGTATTTATCGATGTTGTAATATAACTTGAGTCATCACTGTGATGTAAATATAGTCCTCTAACATTTTCATGTGCAAATATTTATTGTTTTTTATTATCATACTTAGAATATAAATCATTTTCACAAATAAAAGAACAGCTGATTCTCATTTCAGTCGCTCGCTGACATTGGAAATGGATTTTAATATTGATATACTGCATAGGGTTTGTTTCATGGTCTGTGACACTGATATAGCTTCATAATGATTTCATGCACAATTGGTTTTACAATAGACTGCATGTGTTTAATGTGCGTAGCTTTTATGATCTCTGTCTGTAGAGGTCTGAAGGACTTGTTTTATAGTACGTTTCTCCTAATTCTCAATATTGAAAGTCGTTACTATGTTGAATACAAAAAGGAGGAGTAGGGGTAAACAACTTGAAACTTGCGTTGCAATGGATGGACATGTTGGAGATTAAAAGCATCAGTTCTGAATAAAATCTACTAGTTTATGAAATTTAACAGATCAATTTATTAATCGTGATCGTTGGGTGTTTTAATATTAAAGGAAGACACACTATAAATAAACCCATGAGTGTATATGTGCTTTTTATATGTTTTCAATGCACGACCCCCCCCTCTTTCACAAGGCCCCCACAAAGCTCACAGTAAGTCGCGACCCTCGATAAGTCGCAGTTTTTGCTTGGATCCTGAAACCCACGACTTAGCAAGGGGCCACTGTATTTCATTAATTTTTTAGTTCGTCATGTTAAAATGACATGGGGATTATTTTTTTTATCAAAAAGTACACTTTAACCTTGGTATAATGAACACTTTTCTGATGGATTTTCTAATATAATGAACACATTGCATAACAAACCCAATGTATCGTATTATTATTAGAAGCCACATCCGTAATAGAAGTCACATCCATTCTTTTTGAATAATCAAGAACCAAAAATTCATCATTTCTCATATGTGTAAATGCTCTAGTAGTAGAAGCCGCATCCCCTCTGTTGCATTGTAGCATTTTAATAGAAGTCTAGGTTTCTAAAACAGATTTTACAGTATTATTATGTGAACACATCACTATAAATTGTATGTCCTCCAAAGTTTGTTATGTCTTATTTTTTTCAACCAAATTTCTAAGGTTGCCACTTTTTTTAATCCATTGGTGGTTGATGTAAAATTTGCACATGTACAGACAAATTCTGTTCACAGCTGTGCTAAGAAAAATGTGTCTGTAGAGCAGTTTATCAGGTCACATTTGTGTTCCATTCAGTCAGCCAGTTGACAAGTATTTTATTACAAGCCGATGGTTACTTGAAAATACCGAACATGTATATAATTCACCAAACTTTTATCAGTCTTCTTAATGATTATTGTCTTGTTGAATAATTTTTTTTAAACAGTTTATACTGGGGGCAGAATGGGTTCATATGAATATATCAGGGAAAACATACTAGGAAAAAAAGAGGATGGTTCGTTTCCATTGTGGTAAGTTGGTACAATAACTGTATGTACTTTATTTTGTCTTTAAAAATATAGTTAAGTGAGTGTCACTATCGTCTCACATTGTTGCTTGTTGCTACTGTGAAGTGACTAATTTTCACTGGGTTTAAATTTCACTGATTTAGCATTTCAGGCATATTCAGTGTGTTTTAAATTCACGGTTTTATCATTTAGATAATGTGTTCTATGCTAAATTTTACATATTCACTGGGTTATAATTTAGCGCATTTTCCAATCAGTGAAATAAGCAAAATTAAAACCCAGTGAATAATTATTAGACCCTTTTACAGTATTTACAGATTACAAGTGCTGTAGCCATGGATACAAATAGATTGCATGGCATACCAGTATGACCATTTGTATTGAGGTAGTAACAGGGGAAAAAGTTAAAAATTGATCTACATTCTCTAAGAGTTACTTAATAACTTATTCATACATGTAGTTTGAAAGCCCATATGTAGACCAATAAAGGTAGTGCATATGTCGTCTAAGGGATTATTACCTGACGGCCAATTTTGCTTTTTTGACTACCTAACTATTGAAAATACTGATTTACTTGTACTTTTAGTTCGGTGAATGACCTGTAAATTAGACAAAAGTAGACAATCGTATTTGTATTTTCTACAGACGTGCTACAGACCGACAGTAACAAATAAATTTTCAACTTCCCCCTTGTTGCTACCTTCAAAAGAAACGCACATACCCGGTACCCCCGGTATGCAACACAGTTGCCCTATTAAAGGCTCATATCCAATTGAAGTGCACATAAACCTCAAAAGAGCTTGTGTTGTGTTTTTGATGTCTTTAAAATATGTACTTTGACCATAGCCTGAGATAGATACCTGTGAATGTACTATTAATGAAGTAATTACGGAATTTGTGCATCTCCAATGTGTAGTGTGCTATTCCAGCTTTAACCAAACCCTGTTGAACACAAACAATTACATTGTACAGACTTATTATAAAATAAAGGCACCCTTCCAGTCCGTTAGTTATCCTCTTCTCAGACTCTCTGCTGATGATTCATTTTAAAGAACGATAATTTTTTTGATGTTCAAGCCCAAATTAGAATTTTAATTTAGGTCATACGATTGCTGGTCTGGAGGCAACAACTGCTGCATACCAGTGACCAGTTCATACTGTATTGAATTTAGTTAACGTATTTTTAAAAAAAAATAACTGATTTGATTGCAGGAAAGCTGTTATATGTGGTATGGCGGCGGGTGGTCTAGGTCAATTTTTTGCGAGTCCTACAGACTTAGTTAAAGTACAGATGCAGACAGAAGGTAGAAGACGTCTTGAAGGAAAATCGCCAAGGTAGACATTGTGCATTGACCTGCTGTCTCTCAGACTAGCATGATTCAAACTTGGCCTAGATATATTGATTGTATGGTATGTACGTCAGTCTTTTCCCAGTCAAGTCTTAAGATGCTAAATTGGGTAGCACAGTGACTTTCGCAAATTTTAGTCATCGCAAAATGTCATTTTGAAAGATTTCACAAAATTTACGAATTTTTTTAAATTAAATATGCCTTCACTTTCATACAAAAATTTGTATACCTGCTTTAGATTAGAAACATCAGATCTGAACATCGTGTACGAACTGTTGCTATGTTACCAGTACAGACTGTTGCTATGCAGCAAACGGTTCAATGTTCTAGACAGTTGAAATTTGTTAACTGTATGTTAATTTGTTATGGTATTATCTTGGAAACTGAAATTCCTTAATCTGATGCGAGTCATGTGATATTATCTTTGTTGTACAAAACTGTTATCAATGTTCGTATATTGCAGGGTGAAATCAGCAAGTAACGCATTCAAAAAAATTTTACAACAAGGGGGAATCCGTGGTCTCTGGAAAGGATGGGTGCCGAATGTACAAAGAGCAGCTCTGGTCAATTTAGGAGGTATGTCACAG